CGGCGCTCCCCCCCGCCCCCCCCCCGCCGAGTGCCGCGCGCCCGGCGCTCCCCCCGCCAAGCGCGCTCTCCCCGCAAGCGCCCGTGCGCCATGTGCCCGGGGCCAGGCCAGCCCCGAGCACCTGGCAGGCGCATTGAAATGCCCCCACGGGCACCATGGCGCCCATGGGCACCGTGTTGGGGACCACGGGACTAGAGTATATATGTTGCTGGATTCTTCATACAGCTGAGAGTCTTTCTTTGTCTCTGTAATTGGCTACCTTCCTCAGTATGGGGAGAAAGCAGAAATCAGCTATCCAATCAGATCTTCCTCATGGACAAGTAGTGGGCTTTCAAATGTAATTGAGAGTCTATTGAAAGAGGCATACATTCTATTCATCCCTCTAAGACTACAGTTTGGCAAAAACTATGCTGATAAGCTTAATCTGTACTTCTGTTCAGGTTCGCAATCTTTATTACACCATTTCATTAATGCCCCTTAAAGTGGTTTGGCCACAATTAGAGCCCCTTGCTCTAATCCAAGCTATGTGTTTGGAATGCTTGCTGACGTTAAGTTACTGGAAATGCCATTCATTCCAGGCTGTTTTGAGGTATGTTCAATAGTACTCAGAAATTGAAACCGGGAATGGTTTCTCTCCACTTTCTGCACCTCTTGTGCAGAGAGTATTTACTGGCCAACTTAACCTAACCTGGGAGTCATTTTAAAATTTCAGCTGTAGACATGCATTTGCTTTCTCCCCAAACCAATAACCTAAACAAACGTAATGTGAATAAAATGATATTTTCTTAAGCTAACAGTAAGTACAAGATTATAAACCTGAAAGAAAATCCTCTATGTGCAAAAATAAAAATGGTCCCATGAAACAACAACTTCTATCTCATTGTAAATGGATTCCTAGATCTCTCCCTTTGCTAGAATTCCAGATACCTGCAGATTGGCTGAAATGTACCCATGTGCAGACATTCACCTTAGTCTCTGAAGCAGTAAAGTTCCAAGTAAGTCTCACAATAGGGCATAATTGGATCCTTACTGGTGCATAGAAACTTGCTCTAGACTCCTACATATGGATGCATGTCAACCACATGGACTGCCTGATGAAAGAAGAAAATGTTCGAGAGTCCCTTTAACGACACTTCCACAGGGGGTAGAGAAAGTCCCCTTCCGCAAGCTAAAGGTTTTGTATGTTTACTTAATTTTTAATCTTCGGATCTTAAAGCCACCTCAAATCTGGGGAAAATATTTAACATAAAAGCTATGTGGGCCATATTTTCAAAGGAGCATTGACCAAGCCTCTACATTTCAATACCATTTTTTTCTTCTCGCAATTACTTGTGTGCACCACCCTTGTAACTGTGCTGCAAGTAGCAATTAGGTACAAGATACTGTATGAAGCTCTTCTTAAACGCTGATCTTAGAATAGCCAGATGTTTGAACTTTCTAGGAATGTAGACCTTGTATTTGAAACAGCCTTTGAAGGCTGACCCTTTGCATTTCCAAATGCTATGAACTATCTGCATGTTTAAATCCCATCATGTTTCATAATGTATAATATATATTCTCCAGGCTTGAAATGGACTTTGAAGTGATGATTGACCCAAGCTGCTAAACTCAGATATGGAATTTCCTGAAGTTTTGGAAGGTCAAGGGCATCTGGCATTTTGGTTTTGGTTCTTCGCTTGTTTTGATGATGTGAGAAGGGAATAAAAATTTTCTACACTAATCCTTACTGGTTTTCTTCTATATACACACTGTAGTCATTCTGTGCTTTGAACTTTCAAAACTCACTCTACCCATAATATGCTTATCTATGTTTCTTACTGAAAATCAAGTACAAGACATTTCTACAGCAGTCCTATGTTCCTCACTCATCACAATCAAACCATTCTGCACTGGATGACACATGTAGCTTTTTCACATACCATACAGTCAAACACAGGCATTCACTCAAACTTTTTTTTTCTTCCCATCTTATTCTTGGTCAGAATTGTTTATACCTTCTGAAAGCTGGCTTGCTGACTAAGGCCATCAATTTTCATCCCATATGCAAGTAATATTTCAGTGAGTGTTCAGGTACTCGCTTAGAGAGTTTGTTCTATGTTTGAAAATGTTTTCCTCATGCTCATTTAAAACAGAAAATTCTGGAGGTTTGGTTCAACTGCTATAAAGATGGGGACAAACTGAAAAATTCAGGCCTCCGTTGTGGTTTGGGTTTTGAACATCCTAAAGTTCAGGCACGCGTGGATCTGACTAATCCAGTTTGCAACCATCCCATGAATGTACAGGTGTTTTCTTTGAAAAAAGCAGCCGCTGAAATCTTCTGCCTCATTTGAAACCACATTCAACCCACGTCCTGTTGGCTGTTCTCAGATGGATGCTGGGGGACCCAACCTTGCCATGATAAAACATTACACGCCAATTAATTCCAGACGAGAGCCAGTGAAAGTGATACAATGTGTGGGTGGCTGGGTGGGCGTGTGTTTTCTTTTTGCCAGACTGCCATCCTAGGTTTGACCCGGCCAAGTCATTCAAAGCTTTGGAGGCTCGCTCAAAGTGAAGTTGAACTTCCAGCTATTGTGAAGTTCCCTGCAGATGTTCCTGGAATGGAGCTCCACTATAATACAGCCTGCAACCTTTCTGCACAAGTTTTGTTTCAGTATCGTTCCCATCTATCCAAGGGTATTTCCAACCTTAGGTCTCTGGGCCCCAACTTTCTCCCCCAAGGGTGCTGCTTCTACATAGTAATATACACCATGTATATTACTGAGTAGGATGCAGCAGCCTTGAAAAACAGAGTATATATCGTGTGTATTACAGATTAGACCAAGAACAAACCTAGCTGCTGGATTGAGTGCCCATATTCCCAGTTTAATGGCCTCCACCTGATGTTTACCAAACCCACTGGTGTTTCAGGTTTCCAAAGGCTTTCAGACTCCAATTCCCTCCCCTTCTTCTACTTCTCCTCTTATGTCCTGCACTCCCGAAATGGGAATGAACTTTGGGTCTCTGTTTTTAAACAGGTTGAGATTAAATATGTCCCTATCTCAGGGTTATTAAGCCAATGTTAGAGTAAGCCACATATGTTGATCTATTCCTTTGAGTTGTGATTCAGCTTGTAGAGATGTATGCATATTTTATGGTTATAAATGTTTAATAGTTATTTTTGGTGAATGTAATTGCTTCACAAATATTACCTTAAATATGTCTGATGCCATATTTATAATAAATGCCAAATATGCCCTCACTCTAAATTTTTTAATATTTGCCTTGGTCCAAGCATAACCATTGGTGTGAAGAAAGACTAACAAGTCTGTGCTCTATTTTCAGTTAATTCATCAGTGCTTTGCTTGGTTATAAAAATAACTTGGTGAAGCATATATGATAAATATGAACAGGGATTCCGTTGAATACTTTTAGATTTATGTACCTTGGGATTTCTTCTCTTTGTGTCCTCAGTATGGTAGAGCATAACCTTTTCTCCTGAGAAGTTCAAATCCACCAGCACCTCTAGACAGGGATACTGTAAAATGTTGGTTGCACCACTGTTGAATGAGCATTTGTCCTTGATATCAGCTTTGATCACTTTGCAGGTAACTTCTTTGGTCCAAACACTGGAAAACAAATGATACTGTTTGAATAATTTACCTGCAGCTTCTCCACAATGTGACTCTGTCCAAGTTCTATTGATGCATTTTCTACCAGGGTGGTGTTTCATATGTCATTAAGTCATCAGTACTGTGGTGGGCTGATGGTGTATATGGAATGTTTATGCAAAGGCTTTGAGCCAAAGTCATCCAGACAGGTAAGGGGGTTGGGGTGACGAGCTATTCAGGGAAGATATAGAGGTTTACTCCCTCATTAGCCATTTGTTGGGTCAGTTTAGAGGTAGATTCTAACCCAGGGCTACTCAACACATGGCCTGCGGGCCGCATGCACATGCCTGTTTGTTTGTGGCTCGCGGCGCAGTTTGATTTTACTCAGGGCTCAACACATGGCCCGTGGGTAGGATCCTTTGAACATGGCTTCCACTGGGAACACGCTCCATAATGGCAAGTCAATATAATGGTCTTCTGTTGAGATGTGTTTTAGTAGTTCAATTCCTAGACTGTCATTGATCGTTAAAAGTGCTGTCATATGGGTGGAAATCGTGTAAATATCACATTTTATTAATATCAGCAAAACTGACTTAAATGGGGCCTGCATGTCGTGTAGTCTTGCCTTAATCTTTGTATTCATGCCTGACAGTGTGAAAGAAGCTATTTGCATATATTTGCATTTATATTTGCATGTCTATGCAACCACACTTAAGTTGCAGCCCTCGGCATGTGCTGTGAGTATCATTGTGGCCCCTGGGGCTTCCAAAGTTGAATAGCTCTGTTCTAACCCCTCTGCATGGATGTGTTAGAAATTGGCACCCCCAGAATCATAGAACACTAGAACTGGAAGGGACCTCAAGATGTCAGTGAGTCCAGTTCCCTGCCTTCCCAGTAGGACCAAACACTGTCTAGACCATCCCTGACAGGTGTCTCTCTAATCTGCTCTTAAATATCTCCAGAGATGGAGATTCCACAACCTCCCTGGGCAATTTATCCCAGTGTTTAACCACCCTGAAAGTTAGGAAGTTTTTCCTAATGTCCAGCCTAAACCTCCCGTGCTGCAGTTTAAGCCCGTTGCTTCTTGTCCTATCATCAGAGGCCAAAGAGAACAATTTTTCTCCCTCCTCCTTGTAACACTCTCTTTTTAGGTATTTGAAAACTGCTATCATGTCCCTTCTCAGTCTTCTCCTTTCCTAACAAAACAAACCCAATTCTTTCAGTCTTCTCTCATAGCTCATGTTCTCTAGACCTTTAATCATTCTTGTTGCCCTTCTCTGGACCTTCTCCAATTCTCCACCTCTTTCTTAGAATGTTGTGCCCAGAACTGGACACAATACTCCAATTGAGGCCTAATCAGAGTAGAGAGGAAAAATTACTTCTCGTGTCTTGCTTACCACACTCCTATAAATGCATCCCAGAATCATGTTTGCTTTTTTTACAACAGCGTCATACTGTTGAATCATATTTAGATTGTGGTCCACTATGACCCCTAGATCCCTTTCTGCAGGACTCCTTGCTAGACAGTCGCTCCCTATTCTGTACGTGTGAAATGGATTGTTCCTTCCTAAGTGGAGTACTTTGCATTTGTTCCTATTAAACTTCATCTTATTTACCTCAGACCATTTCTCCAGTTTGTCTAGATCATTTTGAATTATGACCCTATCCTCCAAAGCACTTAGAAACCCTCCCAGCTTGGTATCATATGCAAACTTAATAAGCGTACTCTCTCTGCCAGTATCTAAATCGTTAATGAAGATATTGAACAGAACCAGTCCCAGCACAACAGAAAAAGAACAACAGAAAAAAAAAGTGGGGTTGGGGGGGAATTCTAATATTTGTTGGTAAATATTTTAAATGTGGATGCATGTGGAGTTTTTTTCAGTGCACATGCAGAGGCCTGAATGAAAATTTGACATGTTTATATTTTCTGTAATATAGTTTAGCATATTGGCATAACTCTATCTATTAACAATACACATGCTAGTATGACATGACAAATTGGAGACTGCACTGGGAACTTCGTGACCCTAACTGCAACTGCCACAGACTTGTATCCATTGCAGATTAATTAGGCATTTTTCCATGGTAGGTGTATGGGCGAAGAGAACCTGTAATTAGTTTTGATGGGTAGGTTGCACTGGTTCATTACAAAATGATCAAAAAGTGAATGCTCCGGGCTACAGAGCTGGTTAATATTGCCAACAGTTCTACATTTTAGCGAGGGTGGGTTTGAATACTTGGATCTACTTTCTTTTAAGCAAATTCAGCTTTGGAAATTACACAACTCTAGTTTCTATTTTTCCTGAAGATTTTCTCTCTGTGTGTGGTTTTGTGTTTTTTTATCATTGTTGTTAAATTGAAACATGTTTGTTTTCAATAACCAAAGGTTGAAATGTTCTTAGTGAAAACTCTGGCAAATTCCAGGAGAACATTGACCAAGGTGAAAGTTTTTCATAGTTTTCTAAACTTTCCACTGACAATGAAAATGCATGTCTGGACCTGCTCTGCTACTTACTCTGAGAGGATGTTTTCCTGGGTCAGGTGTTTCCTTGGAGTTCTATTGACTGTTCACGAGTATCACTTCCCTGCCTTCATTATAGTGTCTAAAATCAGCTCGTAAGCTCTTTGCCACGGTATCCTTTGATTTGTTCTGTAAAGCACCTAACACACTTTTGGGCTCCACAAGTGCCCAAAACTGGGGTTTATCTTTAAAAAAGCAATTACCTTTCCCTGTAGAATGGCACAATGGTGAGAACAATAAATAAGTACATCATTAATGAGCATGCAATCATTCCTAGTCCCAGGCATAATGCCCTTGTCTCTCCTCTCTTCTGTGCAGTCACCAGCTTTTTCCCCAACATGATTTCGTGTTATGGATTCTGAAATATCCTGTTTGGAGTGAAACCTGAAAAGGAAAAAAAAATGCAACCAGAATCATGATAGATATAATATTAAATTTAATATGAACTTTCAAGAGGTGTTGATTCAAGGTCTTCCAAACTGGGAGGGGTTAAGTGGAAGCTGATACATTTCATCTTTTTATTCATTGAAATTTTGAAGGCAGTCGCGTCCAGTGAAAGAAAATACCGACTCCAAAATTAAAGGAAAAAAAAATAGCCCTATAGAGATGATCTGAACAATTCCAGGCCTATAAGCTTGACCTCAGTACCAGACAAACTGGTTGAAACTTTAGCAAAAGAACAGAATTGTCAGACACATACATAAGCACAGTTTGGTGGGTAAGAGTCCACATGGCTTTTGTAAAGGGAAATGTTTCATCACCAAAATATTAGAATTCTGTCAGGGGGTCAACAAGCATGTAGACAAGAGGGATCCAGTGCTCAGATGTTCAGAAAATCTTTGACAAGGTTCCTCACCAAAGGCTCTTAAGCCAGGTAAGGTGTCCCAGGGTAAGAAGGAAGGTGCTGTCATGGATCAGGAACTGATTAAAAGACAGGAAACAATGGGTAGAAATAAATAGTCAGTTTTCAGAATGGAATAAGTAGTCCACTGGTCTATGCTGGGTCCAGTCCATTTCAATATATTCAAACATTTTTACATCTGGAAAAAGGGGTTAAAGTCTGTAAGGTGGCAAAATTTATAGATGGTACAAAACTTTGGTTCAATCTAAAGCAGATTGCAAAGACTTGCAGAGGGAAGTCACAAATCTGGGTGACTGGGCAACAAAATGGCAGATTAAATTCAGTGTTGATAAATGAAAAGTAATGCACCTTGGAAAATATAATCCCAACCATACAGACAAAATGACGGGGTATAAATTGTTCCCACTTAAAAAAAAAAAAAAAAAAAAAGAGAGATCCTGGTGTCATTGTGGACAGTTCCCTGAAAACATCAACTCAATGTGCAGGGGCAATCAAAGAAAGCCTACAGAAAGTTGAGAAGCATTAGATAAGAGAAGAAATATTGTATTGCTTTCATATAAATCCATGGTACACCCATACCTTGAATACTGCATACAGATCTGGTTGTCTGATCTCAAAAGAGATACATGGGAATTTTGGAAAAGAAAAAGACCAACAAAAATGATTAGAGGTATGAAGAGCTATCAATACGTCTAGGACCATTCATCTTAGAAAAGAGATGACTGGGGGGAAAGGATCGAGGGCTATAAAATCATGACTGCTGTGGAGAAAGTAAATGAGGAATTGTTATTTACTCCTCAACGCAAGAACTAGGGTCGCCAAATGAAATTAATGGGCAGCAGATTTAAAACAAACACAAGGAAGTTATTTACACAACACCTAGTCAACCTGTAGAACTCCTACTCCGAGGATGTTGTAAATGCCAAGACTATAACAGAGTTAAAAAAAAAAACTAGATATGTTCATGGGGGATAGATTCATCAATGGCTGTTAGTGAGCAGGGATGCAAAACAAAGCTTTGACGTGTTCCTAGCCTCAGGTTGCTGGACATTGGGAATAGGATGGGATGGATTATTTGATTACCTGTTCTGTTAGTTCCCTCTGAAGCACCAGTGGGAAGATAGGATACTGGGTTAGATGGACCATTGGTCTGACTCAGTAGGGCTATTTTTATGTATTATACTGTATGACATACTCAGCTTCATAAATTCAGTACTACAAAGGGTGAGTGTGTCATGGAGCATGTGCGTGAACGTGTATTCTAGGACTGTGTGAACTATTAGCAGCAAAATGTGGAAAACTAAGAACTATTTTCCAAAGTCAGTAGTTGAAATGTCATGTATTTTGCTGAAAAATGGGCCCTTATTGGCGCAAATCCCTCAATGTTCATAATGTCAGATTGCTACTTTCACACAGATTTTTTTTCCATCATATTGTGCAATATATTAAAATCTCTGTTTTGGCATCCAAGCTACCATTTCACTAAGAACAAAATATTTGGGTTATGAAATGGCCTAGAGGAAAACGGTTGTTTTCTCTCAACACTTCATGAGACATTAACCTAGAGTCACGCTATATTCAATCAGCTTTTTCCTGCCTTTTTTTTTGTCACATTGATTCTTTGTGCAGTGTTACACACACAAACCAAATGGCAGGTGTGAAATCCTTCCACGACCAAACCCTCTTATACAAAGATATTTTCCTCTTCAGACCTTATTTTCAGTAGAAGGTGAATTACATCCAAACAGAAAGTGCAGTTGGCTAATGGCAATGGGTTGGAACAATTCAAGTCTTAAATTTTCCTGTATAAGACACAGATTTTATTATATCCATGCATGATGGGCTGTTCACGCCACACCAGACCTGAGTGGGTTAAGTTGACACAGATGGGGCAGTTCATTTTATAGGCTAGGCCCGAGTGGAGCTAGCACCTCCTAGACCCAGCCACAAGCTGATGGCTAGTGTCAAATGAAATTTGTGATGTTTTGGTGGAGAAGATTCAAGCATGACAGAGGCCCTAATATAGTGGGAAGTTAGAGCCCACAGTAACGAGGGAAAGGGAAAGACGACCTTACACAGAATCCTTTTGGCTGAAGGCAGGTGCACTCTCGTGGGTTGGACCTTGGGGTTTTGATCAGCATTAAAAACAACCAGAGGGGAGCAGGTACTACTTATGAAACTTCTGGAGAATCAACCAAGAGAGCTAGAGGCACAGGTATACCTGCAGGGATAGCTGACAAAATTGGCTGAACAGTAGCATTTTTAATATACAGGGCTAGAAAAAGGAAATCGCAGAAGCTGTAGAGAGTAGAGCTGGAAAAGAGGTGCCGGGGTTTTGAACCCAAGGCCTAGCCAGGGCAATGTTATGCCTGAGGGTGGATGGGACCCCTTCAAAGAGTTCCCCAACTTCCATGTTGACAAGAAGCCTTACCCAGAGGCCAGGAACAGAGGAAAGCCCGAAGGTGTCCAATTTCTTGGGCAAACAGGAAAGAGAGGAGCTTGTTTTTCGTGTAAGGAATTAGGACATGAGGTATTGCCCTCACAAAGACCTGAATGGAAGAGACAAAGGGCCGGCAGAAAGAGTTGATGGCCTGTAGCAAGGTCTTCACAGGAGTAGAGAAGTGCTACCAGATCGTAATGGCAGGAGGTGTGAAGAAACTGGAAAGGAGAAAGATTCCTACAAAGATGGGCTTGGAGGAGGCAGGGGTGAACACAGACCAAGCAGTATATGGTGGGTACTCAAACCCCACAGGGTAAAGATACTGGGGTAGTCTGCAGACCAAAGGAAGGGGCTAGCAGAGAAATTAGTAATGCAGAGCAAGCCTCTTAAATGGCTATTCAAGACCTGGGATTATAGCAGGAAAAGAACATGATAACCACGGAAGGACAAAGGCAAACGGTTTCTCATGTTGGAGAACCTAAAGCAAGAATGAGATGACGTATGGGCCCAGCATGAGCAAATGCACAGTAGGAAACTTACAATCTTGAGAGGGAGGGTATGTGATGGGGAGTTCATCTCACATCACTCCTGAAGGAGTAAAACTGACGTGGATAGGATCAATTAATTTCATAAACCAGACCTGTGTGGAGCTAATCCACAGACCCAGTCCCAAGGGAGACCTCCAATGGTGAGTGAACCTTCTGACACCATGTGAATACAAAAGCTTTGTCTGTGCTAGACCCTCATAATTGTACAACCTCCACATGTAGCAGTGCTGGGAGGACTAACAGAGGAAATCTGCCAACTGTTTATCGACACATTAACTGCTATGTTTTCCTAAACTTGCTGTGGTCAGAATTGGACCGCGATGTAGACATTTTCACCTAGTCAGGTCCTGAATTCAGGGCATTGCTATTGCTGGTGGTAAAGCACAAATGGGGGATGTGAAGAGAAATGCTAATCTAGGTAGTGTTAGACTACTGTGCAATTGGCTGACTTCGGAGGGTTTGAGTATTCACATCCCCCTTTGTCAAATAGAAGTCTAAATGATATTGATGATGACGATTGCTATGGAATCGCAGCAGTTGAAATGAATGAGTTCTGAAAATGACTGCTCTTCATCTGTATTCTCTCTGCCAATTTAGTATGAGTGAGGTTTAGCATCGCATGCAAATTAGAGCACTATGATCTATACGTCATAGCTGGCCATCACCAGTCTCCATTTTAGTGGAAGCATGATATAAACCACACTTACAGAAATCCTATTTTCTGCAGACAAATAGGGAAGAGACAGAATTGAGGTGTGTGGCTATGTCTAGACTATGTAGAATTTTCAAAAGAGGATATGCAAATTCCCACTGAGTTTGCATATCTTCTGATCTCACTTTCGAAAGAGGATCTTTCAAAAAGTGAAAGTAGTCTGGATGCATATCCTCTTTTGAAAAAAACGTAGTTTAGACGTGCCGTGTGTGTATGTGTGAGAGAGAGAGAGAGAGACACAGACAGACAGAATAACTTAGTAGGCTGAATTAAACCCACGTAGCCCCAGTGCTTTACTTTTCTGCACATGGATTATCCTTGGACCCATACAGAATCTCTGTGAAGGGTCAGAGATTCAGCTATGTCACGGCAGCTTAGAGTATCTATTTTAGTTTAAAAAAGGCAGCTACTTACTATGTTCATCAGTGGCAGATAGGTATCCAAAAAATCAGTTTTGACATGCAGAGGAACCCAGGTTTGGCAGAGCACGTAAGCACATGCGTAGTGATTTGCTCAAGGGATGGATTGAAAGATATGCCCAAGTTCCATTTAAGTTTAAGGTCAAGGTAAAGTCAATGCCTAAGGCTGAATAGGTGCCCATGCACTGGGCGATTAGGAATGGCCCGTTGAACAGGAATGCAAGAATTATGCACAGTGAAGGGCCAAACCCCATAACTCTTCAGCTGTTGTCTGCATTCTGGCCACAATCCCTGGAGGAGTTACTTTAAACTAGTGCCTCCCCCGCACTCCCAAATCCTCTGTCTTTAAAATGTCACTGCAAAGAAGCATTATCTGGAGAAGAATAAAAACCAAGACAATTGCTATAAAGGAACGATGTTAAAGCTGCCTTCAGCTGTTGATTAGAAGAGATGAAGAAGAATGTGATGGAGCTTGCGTGTGGCTTTCTATTTTAATTAGCTTTCAGTCATTCAACCATGGCAGTTTTGTTATTTAACTAGATAATTTTGATAGTCAAAAGACAAAATATTTGGACAGTTAAGGATTTGCTGCTATTAGAAAAAATAATTTTATAGCAGCCATTAGCATTAGCAGAGCTACTAACAACAAATATGTTCTCCCATGGGATTTCATGCTGCGTTGATGCTATTATGTCGATAGCACAGCAGACCCTGCGGTTAGTAGATCTGCAGGGGGGAGTTTTTAAGTGGGTGGGAGGATGGAAATATTGAACAAGGAGATAATTGGTGTTCTAAGGTCTCTTTGGGAATGTAATTGTTCTTCAATTTAGTTGCAGTATGGAAAATCGTTTAGTATAAAATTCCATACTTAATAGGTATTTAGGCCCATTGTGGGTTCTGCTAAAGAGACTGGCTTTGAAGAGAATCAGTCCCGTGAAGTTCAAATACAATTTGCTGAAGTTCCTAATAAAAAAGCATGTTCTTCTGAAATTGACATACTGACACACAGACTATACCTGATTTCTGAGGCGTGTTAAGGTGACTGCACTACAATCAGCCATATGGGTTCCAGACCAACGGATTGCTGTGGGACTTTGTCTTTCCTTGACCTATGGAAACAAACAATAGAAGAGGGGAATATTCAGTGAGGTCAACCCTTATCCCAGACTGACACAAATTAAAGCCAGGACAATGAGTGAGTTGAGCCAAAATTAGAATTTCCATCCTACAGGAAATTGATGTTTCACCATTTCTGTTACTCTAAAATGGGGCAAAACTGAACCATTTTTTAATGGAACAAAGTTCCTTAAAATGTTATGTCCTTACTCAGACATGTTGAAATAAAAAAAGTTGTTCTGAGTCACTTTGGCAATAAACTGCACCGTTTGGCTGGGTCAGAAGGGAGACTGAAGCAATATGGGAGATGTAGACTGCAGAACTCAAACTGCAACTCCCATGAGGCAATGCTGTACAAACTGCTGAAGTAGTTTAACAATGACCCAACACTAAAAAAAGTACTTCGATTCTGTTCAACAATCAAAATGTTCAGTTCAGCTCAAACTGACATGCCACAAAATACTTAGATTTGATTTTTTTTTTTCTGATGGAAAGCCAAGAACTTTGGCAAGAATGACTTTTTTCTTGCAGAAAATTTCAGTTTTGCAGAAACTGCATTTTCTACTGAAAAATTATTTTGATGCAAAATTCTCAACCAACACTATTGATCACACGGAGTTCACCTCTGTGGTCCTAACAGTCCTTTACAATGAGTCAGGAATTAAATTAAATTAAAGCACCCAGTGCCACCTCCAATAGAACTGGAGATGAAAATTTCTTCTAGAGCCTGAATGTTTCCATTTGTACCTGTTAGATATTCATCCACTGCAAATTCTGCTATCACGCTCATACATACAGGAGACAGATCACCCCATCATATGGAAAACAAGAAGTTATTACCCTGCGACCATTAACCAAAGAAATAATGCAATTATGGAAACTGTTAATTAGCAGCACTTTTTCTTGGGATGTCCACATATCAATTAATTTACACTTCTCTTGCCCCTTTCTTCTAATTAACTCAAATCATTTTTCACATTTCCAATCACAATACCTGTGAATGCTAATTTACACACCGATAAACTGAGTACAGCAAGGCAAAGTGACTTGACCAATGCTATACAATCAGTCGGTGGCAGAACAGGAAATACTGAATTGCTTGCCTTCAGTTCCCTTATGCTAATTGCTGGGTGATTTTCCTGCCTCCCAAAATTCCCAAAGCACTTCTGTTTTGAGGTAGAGCAAACAAACAACTGATAAAATATGTAAGGAATGTTAGCAGGAACGAATCCTTCTAAAAATATAACATACAGCACGTCCACAAACATCATGTGATAGGCCCGATCCTCAGGCAGCATTAACCAGAATAGCTTCATTGAGTCTTGTGGTATTTTCACCTGTTTATACTGAGCCAGTCCTTAAAACTGAAAGTCGCTTTGCCCTTTTTTATGCTAGTAAATTGAGTGAGTGGATGAAGTGATGGTGTAGCAAAAATTGTAACCCCTCCCCTTATCACATGTGTTGGAGCCCCTCATGAATAGAAGGGTGTAAGACAGGACAGTAAGTTTCAGTGAAACTGACCTAAAACACTTATTTTTAAAGCCCTTCCATATACAAATAATTATTCAGATGTTTTACTAATTCTTGTTAATGATGAAAACCCTCTGTTTCCTGGATTGGGAGAGACATAAATGTGTTCTGTGTGTGCACATACACACACTTGTGTATATCTGTACAATTGTGATGTCACATAATATATTTCCCACATAATCTCCAAAGTGTTAATTACAGCACCAACATAAACTCTGACACATGTTTATGTACTTTATTTTATCCGGATCTGTTAGATCAGGGACAACATCATTATAAAATGTTTTCTTTACCAAAGTTAGCAAATATTTGACAGAAGAAATATGAAAAATGTAATTGGCCTTGGAAGTGTTAGTGGTTTAAATCTGGAGACACTGATGTGGGAAAATGTGGGTTTCAGATCTTCATCAAAGATACATTTCAGTGTAGCCCATAACTAGGCTGCTGCTAGAGTAGCTCCGTAATAATTAGGAAGTATAAAGTCCAAATCTCTTCATAGTCCACCTCCAATTTTCTTGTTCAGTCTAGTTAAATTGTACAGTCTACTCTCTGTGCAATGTCAATGTATATTTACCATATAGACCCGTTGTCCTTTTCTGTACCTCTTCTTTGTATGAAACCGAGTTTGGCAGTGAATATTAACAGCATTTATCATCAATGGAGGGGGCCTTATCCTTCACTGTTCAGTGAATTTCCTAAGCTCCTGACTTTCACATGAAGAGGGGCAGTGGATGTTCTGTTGCATCACACAATGTGTAGCGGTCATTTGGATCTGGTGAGTAATTAAGAACACACCAAATGGACCCTGTGTTAGGAGGCGCTACTTCCCCAGAATGATGCAGCTATCTGTGAGTTTGACCTTAAATAAGAAGCCAATTTGGGGGCCATTTGTATTTTATAGAAAATTAGCCACTTGTTTATCAGCTAAATGTTACCTCTATAAGAGCCACCTAGTTTTATTGCCCTTTGAGTTCTCCATTCTGGTCTGCATTAAAAAAGAGAAGTGCCACTTTCCCTGGCCACCTCAGTGACCCGAGAGAGATGATTGCCAGTTTTTTGGCAATGCGGTTCATGTATAGAATACGTTGCAGGCACGTAAGGAGAGATGCCCCGTATAGAATCATAGCGCTCTACCGCCAGAGAGCCGTGGAGGGGGATAACTCCCACGGGAGTCTGTACCATCACCAACATTTTACCACAGAGTGATAGATTCATCATTCCAAATCTGCTCTCTTGGTTTTAGTGCGTAGGTTTTTAAATCCTTTCCTTCTATTTATTGCCATTTTGCTTCCTATGGCCTCCTGTCCTGCTCCCCACTTCGTGGTGAGCCTGCCTGGGCTATTTGGATGTTTATCCAAATGGCTCTTACCCAAATGGCCCTTCCCTGCCTTTGCATCTCCAAGCCCTCCTTTGCTTCTAGTACAGGTTGTACCTCCCGGAATGGTCCCAAACCAGGGAATTTGACTGACCAGGGGAGGCTGATGCCAGACCCTCAGCTGCTGCTGTTCTGTGGGGCTCTGCTCAGGCCTGTTGCCAGGGAGATCAAAGGGGGCAATTGCCCTTGGGCCTGGTGACTGAAAAAGGTCCAGGGCTCCCAGCTGCTGGCACAATTGTAGTAGCAGCGATACCTGGAGCCCTGGGCCCTTTAAATCACCGCTGGTGCATCACATGGTGTGCTCCAGGCAGCTCTGCGGGTTGGGTGGCGTCACCGTGTCCGCTGGCTAAGCTAGGCCTCACCCCTTCCACCTGAGGCCCTGCCCCTTCTGGGAGCTCAAAGTCAGGCCCTCTCCAGATGCTCAGCGAGGCGGTGAGCTCCCGTGGCTCGGCTCCAGCTGGAGCAAAGGGGCTGGCATTGACCGAGGAAGGACTGTGGAGGCCAGGAGAGCAACACTGTTGCAGTGCTGGGGGCCAGGAGAGCAACACTGTTGCAGTGCACCAAATCCCATGGGTGGGTGGATGCGTTCCTGCCCCCCCACCTGCTGTGCAGCCGCACTCCTGGTCCTGGGCTCCAGAGCTCTGCAGCCACTGTGCCTGTTTCCCCCAAGCTTCCCCCTCCCTGCCTGAGCTTGAACACCACAAATCAGCTGTGTGCAGTGTTCCGGAGCCTCTGTCAGGGCTGGGGAGGAGTTGCTGAGTGTGTGTGGGGGGGAGCAGGAGTGTTCCAGCCCCCAGGGATGCCAGGTCAGAGACGTTGCCGGACGAGGGAAGTCTGGAGTATAGAGGTCCAACCTGGAACTGTTTGTCTCATAGCACTGAGAATCACAGCAGTCCCTACTTCTGAGACCCAGTTTCAAACAAAAGTTAAAAATCTTCAAGAAAGCAAGTGAAGTCTCTGGTCCCATTCTCTGTCTCTGATTCCTACAGTAAAGGTGAGGTTGTACCGCAGGAGAAAGGACATGCCGTTTTACACCCCATCACCATCCAGGGATCCCATCCAGAGACGTGGGATGCTGTACCCCCTCCCCATGACACGAGTCGTTTGTATCATGTTTGACATACATGGAGTGTAAATATGATCATGTGATTATTCACATGATGTAGTTCGACTGGAGGGGGGAAAAACACTATATCTTACGTCAAAACTTATAAAGTAGGTGTGCGAAGCCAGGGGAAAACATTTGGCTATCTCTGAGTTCTAATGTTTTATATAATAACTTGAAAATCTGTTCTTATTCAGTCTGGCATTTGTCTAGAATATTTCTTCTGAATGCTCTGTGAGATAACAGTGCCACCCTTCTGGCTTTCTGAGACTGGGGTTTCAAGGTACCTAGTTACCCCAGGGCACACAGCTCCTTAAGCTCCTTGAAAAGTTCAGCCGTAGTTCTGCTCCTGACACTAAGCACACTTGCTGACAAGTGCTTTCTAACTCAGCAGCCGTTCCGATATTCACAAGGTATTTGCACCGTGACCATTGACACATTCAAGGAACCTTATGATTTATATCAGAGAGGGGAAAATTAGACAGCTGCTTTCCCCCTCTCTTAAGAGCTTGCTGTGTCTAGAAGCAGTCCTGTATGTTATTCTTTCTGGATGTCTGATCTCTCTTAAAAAAACAACGACATCCCACATATTCCTGAGGCAAAACTTTCTCAAAGTGTTCCTTACCCGTCACTGGCGAATGCTGCCCTTTCGGAGTCTTTAGCCCATGACAGTGTTTCTGTTCTTGACTGATCCAGGTAGATGAAACCCTTTCCACAGCAGTGATAAGACCACAAAACCTAGAATGAAAAACTTTCCTATCCAGGACTCCACTGGGTTTGTTTGGCTGTGGCTGAACTCTGAGCTGATTTCTGTACTATGAAGATTCCTGTTACCATAAATGGTAAGGTATGAACGGATGCAGTTCTCTTAAGATTAATTGCTGTGAACCAGCATAGTGCAAACAGTAGTAAAATAAGCATTCCCCTTCTAGTATGCCTGGGTCTTAATCTTCAAGGACAGTCATGCTGAGCTGAAACTTTCAGGAAGCTGGTGGCAATAGCGATAGAAAATTAATTTTTTTTTGCTGATGCTTGTCCAGTAGGTCTTGAGTTAATCTCACCATTCTTTCCATATAGGCCCCAGAAAAGCTAATAGTTTTTTGTTTCTATTGATTTTGGTCAGAGTTGAGCTAATGAACAATTGAATCTCAGCAGAGTAAATCAGAGCAGAGTTCAGCAAAATCAATTATTTCCTGTAATGCTTTTATCTAGCTTCCAGCGTGACACTATAACCTAAAGGACGTATGTGATCCTTGGAAATATAAGTGGGGGGAGGGGGGGGATATGAAGTCAGAGCACGGAGGTGGTTTACTTCTGTCTGCAGTTTCACTGAGATGTCTACTGGATTACCATATCTAGTTTAGGTGCTCAAAAAGATGATGAAAAAATTTGTTCAGAAACAAACTTTAAAAAATTGAGGTCTAAAAATGTCTTCTAGTGAGAGACTAAAGAATCTCACATTATTTAGTTTATCCAAGAAAAGCCTGGGAGCTGACTTTATTATGGTCTACAAGTATCTTCATGGAGAAGAGATTTCTGATGGTAAACTACTCTTCCATATAGCAAAAAAAGTCATAACATGCTTCATAAAATAACAATCAAGTGGGTTGGAAGCTGAGGTCATCCAATTTGGACTAGCAATAAAGTCCAAATCTTTAACAGTGAGGGTAAAATCGTTAGAAGAAACTTACTTAGAAAGGTAATGGATTCCCCATGTTTGACCTCTTTCTACCCAGACTGGATATCTTTCTGCAGTATGTGGTATAGCTTAAGTAGAAGTAAAGGTCTTGAGGCATATAAACGTTTTGGCCAGTGCTGTGCAGGAGGTCAGAGGAGGTAATCAGAATGCTCTCTACTAACCTTAAAAGTGATGAATCTTCATTTCTTGCTGTCTTTTTTTCTCCTTATCCCTATCTCATCACATCCTCACACCTATGCACTCAGACTGATTTTTAGTTGACGCATAGATGCATAGATTCCAATGCCAGAAGGACCCATTGTGATCAGCCAGTCTGATTTCCTGTATAACATGGGTTATAGAATTTATATATATATATATATTTATATTTAGAGCATCTCTCTTGCAGGGACACAGGGGAGGGGGAGGAGGGAATTTCATGCATGAAAGCATTTCACTGTAGAAGTTATGGAAAAACGTATTGACTTCCCTGGCAAAATATTACTAAAGTGAAAAACCAAGAGTCCACTGGGGTATGTCTATACTGCAGGGCTTAACTCGAAATAAGCTACAGAAATTGAGCTATATCAATTGCATAGTTTATTCTGAAATAGGGATCATCTACACAGCACTTATTTTGATATAAAGCACTCTTCCTCTGACTTCCATTATTCCTCATGCAATGAGGGTTATAGGAGTCGGAGTAAGAAGTCCTCCAGCTTGACAGTATTTTCACACTATTTCAAAATAACTGCCTGTTGTGTAGACCCAAACTAAGTTATTTTGGAATAGCGCTAGTTATTTTGAAATAGTGTTGCAATGTAGACTTGCCCTAGGTGTAGCTGGGAAGAGATACCTTGTAGCATTTTAGTATGTAGCATCAGACTCCTGAGGTCATGTTTAAAATTAACATCTTAGCTTGAACCATGCTTATGATCCAGTTCCATTGTTTAAAGCCTCCCTCCCGCTCTTGCTCCTATACGTATGGCTGTTTCTCCCATACAGACATGAGAACACATGCTCACATAGAGCAATGTATCTCAGTGGTATCTAAGTACAAGTCAGCATTGGAGACACAGTATTGGAGCAAGCAAAACCAAAAACCAAATCAATACAGCAAAGCTGGAACATGACATGATCAGAGATTCATGTCTGATCAACACTGCAGAGTTGGGATGTGTTTCTGAGGCTTTATGGGACTATGCCCATGGTCAAACTGCTGTATCTGTGGGGAGGTCCATTGACATCAGTAGGGCTCTTGGCAAGTACAGACAGATCATGCTTTATCCAATCTGATCAGAACCTTTTTGGGTCTCGAGAATGGGACTGGACTTCCCCATCTATTTTTGTAACTGCCTCTGAGCTGGCTAGAAATACTGCGTAAAGTGTTGCCTGAGGTTTGCTGACACTTTTTTTTACTTCTGGTCCTGGTTGGGTGGTGTGGAGGCAGAAAACATAACCAATGGAAAGAAGAGTCATTCAAACTTTCCTGGACTTCCGATGCTCATTTTAGGTTCAACTCAAGACTTACCAAACTTTAGCTCCCTTCTTGTTTTCTCCCTGTTAATTTACCTCCTTCTTAAAAAAAGGAATAAGGGATCCTTCAGAAAAGGCTTTATTTTCCGAAAGATCCCCGTCTAGTATGACGCTTTTTTCCGGCAAAGCTCCGAGCCGGAAAAAAGCGGCAGCCATTTTTATGCAAATGAAGAGGGGGGATTTAAATCCCCGCTTTATTTGCAATTGCAATGTGTCTAATTTGCATCCCTTTCATGGAAAAGGGATGCAGTCTAGACACAGCCGTTATGTTTTGATAAACCATCATTTTCTGGCTAAAAACATTTTGTTGAAGACTTTCTTAGCAGCTGTTCTCAAAAATTTCTGAGACCGGGCCCTAGGTTTTGTACAACCTTACAGGGTATCCCTTAATGGATAAATTATAGGTGATTATTATTATTGTATTTACAAGTTGAACCTTTCTAGTCCAGCATCTTTGGGACCTGATGGGCACCGAACCAGGTAATTTGTCAAACCGTGGGAGGTCACTATTGTCTAGTGGCATTACCAACATTTCCACTGCTTACTGAACTCTTAGATGGCCTTTGGGTTAAATGTAAGCTAAATAGCACAGAACATGGAGAGCTAGGACTGGTGCCTGTGAGAAAACTTTAGGGGACCACAGGAAACTTGGCTACATCCATGATGAGTGGACATCTGGCTAACCAAAACCATGCCAGACTAGATGTTGCCAGACAAGAGAGGTTCAACCTGTACTGATTTTAGAAGGCCATTTTTATAATTATACAGTAATCACCAAGCCTGCCTAGGGAATTGTATGAGAAAATCTGGCAAGGAAGCTTGATAATTAGATAATGCAAAGAAAAGCATTCTCATAGCTCATGGCTTGTATGGAGTAGGAGAGACTGAGGTGTCTGAAGTGTTGTAACTTGCATCTCAAGGTGCCAGAAGAAGGGGAAGTGGGCATTTTAGCTAACAATTACTTGAATTTTCTTCTGACGGTTAACCTCTCAATGAGCTGGTGGAACTATTCATTTGGGATGGGATGCATTAGCAATGAAGCTACTCAGGTAGTGAGTGTGTCACTTGGCAGCTGTAGCTTTCATTACTTGTGGTATGTTAATTGCTCCTCATTATGTAGCATTGGTCCTGCTTATTTTCAGGATGACTGAAACTTGTTAAGGAGAGAAATAATTAATAATCTAGTTTGACTGTTCTTATGAGCAAAAAGCCCTGTAGTTAAAACTCATTACACTTTTGTGATTAGTGAATGTTTTCAAGAAGGAAAATATTATGAGTCTCAGTGAACCAAACTAGCACTTTTATCTGCACCGAAGTACGCACGGGGGTTTCTATTCCATGATCAGCTTTTGTTTGTCAGTTACGTCAAACTCTTCCCTTAACTCTTGTTGATGGATGGAATGGACCGTCATGTGCATCCTTTATTTCACCTGATTTGAAAAGGAAGAAGAGGAAGTATTCAGTAGATTCTGGTTTCTTTTGTCGGTGATCTTGAGGCCTCACTTTGCATGGATTATTTTTTTAATTTAGTATAAATAATGGCAACATTTTCCAGTGTAGTGAGCCTTAGGGAGGAGTTCATTTCTAAGTAAGATGTATTGCTTGCCTTCTCTTGCGCCTGATCTATGACTTAGTGTACTATACATTATCATAAATTAATGTGTAGTCCAAAATTGTTAGTCCTCGCCAGTGGAAAAACACAAATGCGATTGAGGGCTGGGTGTGCCACAGATAGAAAATTAAGTCAAGTATCTTTTGTCATACTATAAAGGGGATGGTACGCAGAAGGAAAGAAATGGCTCCCGTTGGAAAAGCTGCCCATTTGTCTAAGCTGACCCTCCTAAAGAATTGTTCCTTTATACTGAACATCTCAAGTCTGTGTGGCAAAGCCTTTTTAGAAAGTGTTGCAGTTTATTTACAGGAATTCTCCTACTGCCTCCAAAGAGCCAGTGAGCTGTGAAATGAGAACAGTTGTTCAGGGATTCATGAAGCCCTGTAAAGTGATTAGCTTTCCCTCTCCTATCTGAAACACATTAATAGACTGGATAAAGAAAAGGAAAATCTATGGCTGGTGTCCAAGGAACATTCAGGCAACTTGGACACGATCATTGAGTTGCAGGAGTGGGAAAGAGGTGCCTTTAGCACAGGGATGTCTGCATCAACTGTAGGAAACTTGGGCTCCAATGGTTTGATGATAGTTCATGTAACAGAATGATAACTGTCTGGTGCCAGTCTCACCAGTGTGGCCAAGACGGGCACAGTGCTGCCCATTGCAGTCGTCAGGAAAATCCCTGCTTAGTTTTTGAAAAGCTGAGGATCAGTTGAGAGACATCAGGGAACTGCCAAAGGGATGGGGTGCCACCTGCAGGATTTGAAGGATCCCCTAGAAAAGACTGTCCAGCTGGGATTCCCTCAGGACTGATAGGGCCCAGTGATTTCGGCTCTTAACCCAAAGCACAGTCTAGCCACAGGAGATTCAGCATCCACTGGAGTAAATTTAAATACAAGAGAGGCTCCTTTTGGAGTCTTTCTCTAACTTGATCATTGAATCAGTGGGAAGAAACAGGTTGAACCAGTCTTACAGCTGA